AAACATCATATAACAAACCTACCACTAGACAAGGAATGATGTGTATTCATTCAAACATCATATAACAAACCTACCACTAGACAAGGAATGATGTGTATTCATTCAAACATCATATAACAAACCTACCACTAGACAAGGAATGATGTGTATTCATTCAAACATCATATAACAAACCTACCACTAGACCAGGAATGATGTGTATTCATTCAAACATCATATAACAAACCCACCACTAGACAAGGAATGATGTGTATTCATTCAAACATCATATAACAAACCTACTACTAGACAAGGAATGATGTGTATTCATTCAAACATCATATAACAAACCTACTACTAGACAAGGAATGATGTGTACATCATTCCTTGACTAGTGGTAGGTTTGTTATATGATGTTTGAATGATCCTTGTCTCATGGTAGGTTTGTTATATATATGAATGAATACACTATGATGTTTGAATGAATACATCATTCCTTGTCTAGTGGTAGGTTTGTTAGTGTATTCATTCAAACTGTCCAGATGTCCAGTTGTGTTGCAGGGAAATGTGTTTAGAAATTTTTTTATAAAATACAAAAAATACTAACAAAAATTTCAAACACTAAATGAAGACAAAAACACAAAACCTTATAATCCAAGTATTTTCAAAAGATGGACCTGTCTTCATTAGATGGACCTGTCTTTATTAAGAACATTCGCGGTTTACCCCCGAAGAAGAAAGGTCCACCTTTTGAAAGGTTGTAAGATTTTGTATTTTTGTCTTAAATTGATTTTTGAACCTCTCTGTTTTCCAACATCAAAGATAAAGATGCTGTTGTCAAGTAATCAGTTCAAAAGGTCACATTCAATGAAACTTCTTTCATGTAAAAGCTATTAAAAATATTTGTATTCTACCAGACTGAAAATGTGGATTTTCACAATCCAGCACAGTTTTTATAATCATTTCCACACTACAGCCCTGAAATTTACTTTAAAGTCAAAAACAGAAGTAGTGTTTTCTCAAGCTTCAAAATTTGTAAACTAGAATCTCCAAAGAAAGTCAAAAAGATTTATTTGTGATATATTTCCATTATTTACAAGTTTTCTGTAACTACTGTATACCTGTATAATCAGACTTCTAATAATGTTTATATACAAGTCACTTTCTTTTATAGGAAGATACTTAATATAGTTACATGCAAAATGAGTTTATAATATACTAATGTTTATGTTTGTCAGAGTTAGTAACTTTTTCTCATTATTTCAGGTATGACATTGTTCTACAAATTTTTCATAATCATGCTTCCACGAAAGAAGCAAAACTGCAAGTCTCGCTGGCAGAGGTCCCACTTCTGAGGTACATCTTCATATTGTACATCTTCATGTACTTCTGAGGTACATCTTCATATTGTACATCTTCATGTACTTCTGAGGTACATCTTCATATTGTACATCTTCATGTACTTCTGAGGTACATCTTCATATTGTACATCTTCATGTACTTCTGAGGTACATCTTCATATTGTACTGCAAACCACTGCAGAATTTTACATTCAGTGAGGGTGAGGGGCAGACACTGACTTAACTTGAGAAGCATGTTACATATTGATACTTTTAGAAACTCCTGCTGTTTCAGAGTGAGGGGCAGGCTCTGACTTAACTTGAGAAGCATGTTACATATTAGTACTTTTAGAAACTCCTGCTGTTTCAGGGTGAGGGGCAGACACTGACTTAACTTGAGAAGCATGTTACATATTGGTAGTTTTAGAAACTCCTGCTGTTTCAGGGTGAGGGGCAGACACTGACTTAACTTGAGAAGCATGTTACATATTGGTAGTTTTAGAAACTCCTGCTGTTTCAGGGTGAGGGGCAGACACTGA